CCCCCCCCCCCCCCCCCCCCCCCTCTGCACCATCCTGCACGGTCCAGAAAACGAACATGTATCTCTTGCCATGTTTAATCTACGGCGAAAGCGGGACATTAAAGCCCGTCTCCGTCTGCGCTGACAGGCAGCAAAAGGCCCGTTAGCTGCTCAGTGAGGAAACGCCACGGATTCACACAAGTAATAAAATTACTTCTTCTGTGGGTTTAATTCCTAAGCCTGTGCATAACATTTACATTTTAATTTATTTAGAGAAAGCAGGGCCAGCTGGCCTCTGGGACGATTGGGATTAAGGGCCTTGCTCAGGGGCCTGACAGTGACATCATTCCGCTGACCCTGGGATTCGAGCTGGTGACCTTCCGATCACAACCATGGCATCTTAACCCACCGAACCACGCAGCGCCTGCATTTGTACTGGCAGGCATTACAGCACTGAGTGAGGATTCAGACCACAGCTCATCTTCAGCTTCACCAAGGTCTCCAAAGGGGGGGGGGGGGGCAACACTTTCAGCGCAAATGACTCTGCAAGGGACTGTTGCTATAAACCAGCCCCACTCTGCTACAGAAAATGAGGACCACAAGCAGCTAGAGAAGAGGGAGGGTTTTACTCCACGTTTTCGCAAACAATGAAATGCATGCCCTCTGCTAGAGGTCTGGCTCGATAACGAGAATCCTGCGGCTCCATCATGATCACGGACCACAATGCACTGCGCAAGAGAGCAGGACACACTGACCACAAGGACGTCCAGCAAAATCGCAGAGAAAAGCTGCACCTAACACCCGATTACACACAGAAAGGATCACGTGCACACTGCTGAATGCTTAAGCAGGAGCTGCCCGATTCCGGTCCTGGAGGGTCAGTCTGCGACACGGTTTGCAGATTTCCCTGCTCAAACGCACCTTATTCAGCTCACCAGCTAATAGCCGGGTATAGTAGGTCTCCTTGAGCAGGGCAATTTGCAAACTGCGTTTTAGACTGGCCCTCCAGGATCACAACCCGGCAGCTCTAGCTTAAGGAAATGCACACAAGCATGCAAGCCGTACAAACACGCACATGTGCATAAACATTTAAATACCAGTATCACGCCATTCAAAATCTGACACGTATGAGACCTACACAGGGAAACAGTCATTTTAATAAATGTAGGACCTGTTTCACAGTCACGCTGCTTGTCAGATAACATCAGATCACCCTCATTATCAGTACAATGCCTCTTTGTGGACTTTTCTCAATTTATCACCCTGGATGACAGAAGGTAACTGGAATTAAGCAGATCAATGGAGATTCTGAAAGGTATATATTTTATTTTACAGGCATTTTAAAGCAATAGTCTTTCCAACCCCTAAATTATTATGAAAGCTCAGACTTGTAAATTTCTCTTTAGAAAAACCAGCAACAGGCCTCAGCGCTGACTCATCACGGTTGATCCTTGTCTGTTACTTGGAAACTGGCACTCTGAGTTGTTCTTACGCTGACCAGAAATAGACAATTACCAGCACATAACTGGCAGCACAGTTTGATCAAATAAGCATTAAAGCATTAGATTAAAGTTACTTGGGTTAGCTACCTGTTCTTCCCAATTTCAGAATTAATAAAGCAAATATGACAGATAATAATAATGATTCCGTAATCTCATTAATTGTCGTAATGGCTTTTCAACGTTTAAACCATGGGTACTCGACGTACGCTGTGGTTTGTATTTATGGAATCATCCACGCAGCTGCCGTCGGCCTTGTGGCAATCGGCGAGCAGCACAAGTGGGATGGGGTCCGGAGCCCTTTCTGCCTCATGTGGGGGCACCGTACGTTCTGTCCCTCGCCGTGCCGAACTGCGGCGTACCTTCCACCTGCCGAGGCCCGTGGTGCGTGGAGGATGGGGGGGGAGGAGTTGATGCGTCACTCCAGGCTGGCTCCTTCGGCTCCTCCATCGCCGCATTCCGCTCCGACCCTTAAAGTGCCCATTTAACAATACGCTCTGTCTATCCGAGAAACGTTACGCAACACGCCCAGCACTCGTGCCCTCGCGCTGATTCACACGGCACTGCCGCACTCCTAACTAGTGTTATTTCCACTTGTTGATATAATGGCTCAGGATACAGCCCTCGGTGAAACGATGAAACGATGCCGAAATGTAAACATCACTCAAGAAA